ATTAAGGTCTCTCGGCTCTAAGGGGCTGAGATTTAGGTCTGGTTTTATATGAACCCAAACCCTATGCTATAATGAATACCTTAAAAAAAAAAAAAAAGCCAAACCCTATGTTTTAAACATATAATTTCCTCTTCATAAAAGTGGGGGCAAAATAAAATGCCTATCTCTCACACAGAAATGAGCAGCTGAAATAGCTATGTCAGGCATACAAATATATGTAAATATTTATTTTCCATATTCTAATGGAGAACTAGAGAGAGAGCTCGTATTTTGTATGTTAAATGATACTATGTATTGACACTTTGAGGGAGGCATATAAAGATATTTTCCTGCTCTTGCTTTCTTCACTACAGTCTGGGGAAAACTCTTAATGAGAAGGTGCACACACAAAAAATTTTCCACTCATTTATGAGTTGGGACTAACAGTGTAATTAGAAAGAAATCAGAAAAATGATATCACATACACACAAAAAAACCCTAGAAAATGCCAATGAAGTCACTGGTGCCCTTCTAACCCTGTCAGGTGACAGGAATGCCAAATCTTCTAAAAACTTTCTGGTCAACAGAAAACAAGACAAAACAAAAACACCCTGACTTTTCCCTAAATGCTGACCTAATTCAATAGTTTTCCAATGATAACTTGGAAACAGTCAATAAATAAAATATGCCTCACTGGAATTTATGATTAATTGCCTTTCACAATTGGAATACCAAATTCATCTATGAAAAGAACAATTCTCATTACTTTTTTTTTTTTTTTTTTTAAGAGAGAGACCACACAGGGCGGGGAGGGGCAGAGGGAGAAGAGGGGAGAGAGAGTGAATCTCAAGAAAGCTTCCTGCTGGGCACAGAGCTCAATGCTGGGCTCGATCTCATGACCCTGAGATCGTAACCTGAGCGGAAACCAAGAGTCTTACGCTCAACTGACTGAGCCACCCAGGCACCCCTCGTTACCTTTCTTAAGATATGCTCTGGATCTATGTTTTCTTGTCTGTAAATTTAAGAAGTATTTTGCCCAACTTTTATAATTGATATTCATTACATATTACATAATCAATCTTAAAAATAAATTATTATAATAGAACAGGAATGGAAAACAGAAAAGGCAACATTCCCCATGACTGTGCCTTTGGATGCACAGTTTACGCAGTCAGGTCAACAAGAGCCCGTGCTGGTGAGGCAGAAGCCACACTTACATAATGTCCTGGGCCTAAGGGTTGTGAACAGGAAGAAAGACTCGTTCTTAAGGCGAATTGCATAATCTCTTCTCATTCCCTGAAGTGCTGTAGGGGAGGGAAGGGAGAGACTTCTATCTGTCAAGGAGAGTTTGGCTGCACAGCTGCCTCAAGGCATGAGAATAATTATACGTCCCTTCAGCATCAGAGTAAGACTCTGTGATGATACAAGAGACTCCAAGCCACTTTCAGTATCTTTGGAGTTCAACTGCTATCTCACTTGGGCCTCAGAAAGGAGGGGCTGTTCCAGTCTTCCTTATAATTCCCACCCTAATTATTACATTATACTTTCACAATTTAATCCCTTTATTTGCCTCACTGCCTTTTTGGGGCTCAGTTAGCACCACGGTGTGATGCCTGCTGATGCAGCTAGCGGGGTAGCCTTACTCAGTTGCCCAGCTGCCAGCTACAAGCCCAGCCAGGTGGGCGAGTCCAGAGTGCTAATCTGGACAGTGACATCTCTGTCTCCTGCTCAAAATCCTTGAAAGTTGCTCTCTCCAATATGGAGTAAAACTGAGCACTATACATCAATGCCAAGAATCACCCTGTGCTTTGCTCTGTTAAGCTTCTGGTAGCATTTCAGCATCCTAAGGAAGAATCAGGCACAGAATTCCAGTTGCTCTGTTTTAGTTATTGCTCAGTAAATAACTACTGCAGAGCTATTAATATCTAAGCTATATGATTAAAAAAAAAAAAAAAAAAACGCTGCCAGGAAATTGTTTCATACTTGTTCTATCTTTGGAAACATACTAAGGACAAAGGAGTTTAACCACTGCCCGCACCCCACCACCACCACCATACTAAAAATTTGGTATTCCCTCAAGACAGGAGACGCTTGTAGAGGAATTCACCTCAATGCACAAAGGTTTGAGAACAAAATTTTAACAAAATGTTGGTAAGATGCAGCTCCAGACAGTGTGCTCATGTCTGGCTCACAGTAGGTCCTCAGTAAATATTTGTTGAGTAAAGGGAAGTGGTTTTTATAGGGAGAATCTCTTGCTTATATCAGCATACAGAGCACCTGTTAATTTATCCCAAAATATTAGCTTATGTTCCGGTAGTTTTAATGCCACAGCTGTATAAACTGAATAAACAAAATTGAATTACTAACGGTATGAGTTTTAGATGCTCTCTAACAAAAGTATTCTAATACCTTTGGACAATAGCCAGTAAGAACCCAAAGATTTGATATATGTTTTCATTCTCGAGTTTTACAATGTTAGAAAGCAGGCTGAAGACATTTCTCAAATGCCCAATAGTGTGAGGAAGCTCCACAAGTCGACCACCATTGTTTTTACTCACTCTACTTACGACCTCCCATTACATTTTATCCTTAAATGTTCCCTGAAGTAGGTATTAGTGCCTTCAATTTACAGATGAGAAAAAAGAAAAGAAAGCTCCAGTGGATAAAGGATTTTTCTAAGAAAATGGTAAATAAAATATGGCAACGATAAGCCATAAAATAGGAAGAGAGAGCCATCAAAATATCTATGGAATTCATACGTACTCATACTAACTTGGCTTGTATTCTTCAGTTAAAGTTCTAAAAGGCTATGAAAAAGTTAGGCTTAAATATCCACTCAATTTTGTCAGAGTTATGATGTCTTGAAAACCTGCGCCCCTTAAGTCAACCCTTTAACTGTGCCTTCATCAGCTACAAAACAAGGCGGCGATGTCACAGGCAACACAAAAGCAAATGGGTGATGGTACAACCCATTCCGCTAAGAACAGTAAGTGGAAAATAAAAAAGGTGGGAGATTATGTACACATAAAGGATTTCATAATCACCTTTTGTTAAAACATTTGGAAGGATTAGAATTTAACAAACCATCTCATTTGCACTTTAAAAATCAGTACATAACAAATTTATTAAAGTGATTTCAGTTACATCCAAGAAGGGACCATTAGAGACAATGGCCAGTCCGTAAATCAGCAGCAACACAGTATAGAGCCGCGGTTCTCAAAGCTGGGTAAGCATCAGAATCACCTGCGGAGTACACACAGATTGTTGGGCTCACCCCCCAGAGATTCCGATTGAGGCGATCTGGGATGAAGCCTGGGCATCTGCATTTTTAAAAAATTCCCAGGTGATACTGATACTCCTGGTTCACTAGCCCATACTTTGAGAAACACTTTACTTACAAAAAGCAGCACCAAGGCAGGCAGCGATCTTTACCCTTGACTTTATCAAAGCATTAAGCAGAAGGCTTTCAAAAATCTCCCCCAACCCTTGCCCTGGCCACACCCAAAACTAATTCATTCAGAATTTGGGGGTAGGAGCCCTGCCATCAATTTTCTTTTTCAGTCTCCAGGTGATGCCAGTGAGTTGGCCAGGATGAGAACCACTGACAGGTGGAAAAACACACACATGTATCCAGAAGTGCTTGTTAAGAAGAAAACATTTTGTAAACCACTGAGAATAGAATCACTGATGAGCTGAGCATCTCCAATAAGCAATTATTCTTTCCTTTCCCTATATTCTCCAAAAGTGGATCACAAAGGATCCACAAAAGTGAAAATTATAATTTCCTGTAAGAATACAGATCTATAGCGTTTCACATGAGCGGAGGTCTCTATTTGTGGATTGCGAGCTGAAAGGAGCACACACAAATTTCAGCCACATTTTTCTACGTTTATATTGCTATTTATAAAGCTAAAAATCCATAAAGGTTTGGGCATATCTTATAAACATTGCAGGTATATTCTATAATTAGGAATAATTTGGAAGACTTTTTTAAAAGTTCATTGAAAAGGTGACAAAAGTATATCCAACCATAGGGAAAGAAGAAATGTAGGAGACAACTAAATTTGTTTAGAGCGATGGTTCTTAAAGCGTGGTCCCTGGGCCAGCAGTATGAGCATCACCAGGCAATTTGTTAGAAATGTAAATTCTTGGTGCACCTGGGTGGCTCAGTTGTTAAGCATCAGCCTTCAGCTCAGGTCATGATCCCAGCGTTCTAGGATCGAGCCCCGAATCAGGCTCTCTGCTCAGCGGGGAGCCTGGTTCCTCCTCTTTTACTCCCCCTGCTTATATTCCCTCTCTCTGTCAGATAAATAAATAATATGTATATATTATTTATATCTAAATATACGTATATTTATATTTATATACAAAATATATTTTATATACATATATTCATACATATATATGTATAAATATTATATATTTATATATAATATTTATACATATAGATTATTTTATATATACATATATATTTATATATAGAATACATGTATATATTTTTATATAAAATACATATATATATTTATATATAAAAATTCTTGGGCTTCTACTCCAGATGTAATGAGTCAGACTCTGAGGGTAGGGCCTGGTGATCTGCCTTTTAGCAAGATCACAAGGTGATTTTAATGAATGCTCAAGTTTCAAAACCCTGAACCCCGCTCTAAAATATTTATTATTTCCATGCATCTGCAAGAAGAACCAAAGAGGTAAAAATACTACTGATCTAGTGTTACCTGTTTAGTTGCTATACAGACCCACATTGCTCTGATAACAGCAGTTTTTTGTTTGGTTTGTTTTTTTTTTTTTAACCCTAAGCTTCCTATCATTTCATCGTTAGAGCTTAATGGTGAAAGCAGAATTGATAGGAGGCATATCTGGGGGAGTTTAGTCTTTAATTGCTCCACAAGCTACTGTAATCTATTTCTATTTTGTACTCAAGGCCGAATTAAGACAACTTGATCAACAAGGATAAGAACTGGAAGGCTGGAAGAGGGTAGGGTCGTTCCGGGTGCAACACTAACCTTGAATCGTCCTCTTGAAGAACGCCTTGCAGGCTTCGCACGACGCTACCCCATAGTGGTACCCGGATGCGATGTCGCCACACACTAAACACAGTCTCTTGGGCATCGAGTTGAGCATGTATTCACACTTGGTCTGGGGATCTTCAACAATGGTGCTGGAGCAGTCATCATACAGTTTCCTGACAGGCCCACTCCCTCCGAGGATAGGAGCAGACGGGTAGAGAGGTGGCGAGTCAAGTCCGTTCTGATGGCCATTCATGGTTGAACTGTAGCTCCCGCTGGCGTCTGAAGAGCCACCTGGGCTGTGGTGGTTGACGCTGTCCGTCAGGGAGGCCGGGCTGGAGGGTTCCGTCTTGATGAAGGACGAGCAGCTGGAGTCAATGTGTCGATCTTTGCTTGACATTCTGCAGAGAAGCCTGAGAGGTAGGGAGATACAAAGGGAGAGAGAAAACAAGGAGAGTGTCAAACTCGCGACTGAAGGGGTAGGAGGAAAGAGAAGGTTAAAAAAAAGAGAGAGAGACAGAGAAAGCCAAAGGGAAGGATGAAAGGAGGGGAAAAACCAGAACCATTCATATGTTAAAGACACTGCTCTTTGAGCAAAGTGGGTGAGAGCAGGAACTCCACATCACTCATTCTCTAGTCAATATCTCCTGTTCTACAAGAAGGTAATCAGCATAAGGGCATGACAGGGTTACATCAAAGTGCCCAGACAGGCCATAAACAAAACCTCTAATGGGTCAGATTCCTTTGATTTTACCTTCCTCCTGGAGAACCACTGTCAATATCGAAATCAACACTCTAGATTCTAAATCTACCCGCGGAAGAGGAGTGATTTAAAAGTCCGTATCATTTCCAAAATTGGATTTATCCTCACTCTACTCTTCCCCGCCACGTTCCGATGCTGCAATCATGTTACTGTGAGCAGAATCCAACTTTCATTTTCAAGACCGAACAGATGATTCCTCAGCTCTGTAATTACTGTTTGTCAACATGCTTCTATAAGCATAACTGTGTCTTTTATTGATCTAAGACACATAGGGAATATATCCTCCGCCACTTTGCTGCTTTTTTTGAATCGCTCTATTTCATAGCCGTTTCGCAATCGAGAAAGGTGTCAGGTATAAAACTCCAGCCAATATGTAAGGATGAGATCCTAGAGCCCACAAAACTTAGTGAAACGGTCACCAGTACTGATGAATACCTATGTGCAAGTTCCTGCACGTGTGATTGGCCATGGTTTAAGAGACGAATCTGGAAAAGCCATCTGAGCCTTCAGGATACCTGTGAGTCCATAAATCTGATCCTTTGTATTATATTCAGCAAACTACGAACGTATCGCATTTTGTCAAGAAAAATGGGATTTGTGACGGTCCCTATCCCCCCCTTCTTTTAGTCTTTCAACATCAGACCTCCTAAAAGGAAACATGAGGCATCTAATCTGACAAACTATCTCTCTTATCTAGAAGAAACGGACTGCCCCTCTTTCTTTGTTGGACCCGTAAGTGATTAAATTTCTTAAAAGGTAATTAGATGAAAAGATATAATGGGTCCTATTTTCTATCTGATTAGCCATAGTGCAAAACCCCTTTTAGCAAAGTCTCTAGGAATATTCTGAGAGCCTGCTATGGAAAGAAGAGGTGACAGTTGAGAAGGGGACTTTGCTAATTGCTTCCCAGTGGAAAGGTGATTTATAGGAATCCCATGGGGTAATGGTCATTCACTAGAATTTGGGGGAGTTGTCCCAATATAACCAAAGGGAAGCAATTATCTCTACCACTATAAATCTAAGCATATGTTTTCATTGCCCAAATTTCATGTTCTCCTCCAGGTCTTCCTCCCCCCTACTATCCTGTTACTTTAAAGAAAAAGAAAAAAAAATTCCTATTGGGGAAGTTCCCTTCACTATTCCAAGAAAGCTGTCTCTAAAGCAAAGCATCAAAGGGCAAAAATTCGCCTCTTATCCAGTACACAGCACCTTGGGAATTTTGTTCTGCTTTCTAAAGTAAAACAGTATCAGGATGTGAAGAAAGCAAACAGGAAGGAGAAACCCACAAAAATATCTTCTCGCTCTCGCCTACCCACTCGTGTTGTCCTTTCCTCAAGAGCTAGTGAAAGCAAAAATATCCCCCTCGCCAGCCTGAACTACGGTGTCCTCTCCCTTCTGCATCTGCTGCCTTGTACCCGTCACCGTTAATGAGCGCTGTAATTAATAGATCGCTCTCCCTGTCTCCCTGCTTGCACTCTGGGCTAAGCACTTTTCCTCAAGTCAACGTTTGAAAGAAAGCGGGTCGGCACTGACTTACAGCAGCCCTGCGAATTCCTTTTAATTTAGAGCACTTACCCCACCACTTCACTTATTACCTTATAATTACTGGACTGCTCGCACATACATTATGATCTTGGACTAGAGCTAGAAGTTATTAGGGTACTAAAACATGGTTGCTCCCCTTTCCTCTCTCTGGCACTGAATTTCTCACAGCGATGACAATTAACTCTTTCGCCATCTGCTCTCAAGGCACCATTTCTTAATTTTTTCTTTTTTTTTTTCTTTTTTTTTCTTTTTCCAGAGAGTGGCTTGGTCACAGAACATACCATGTCGTCTCCAGGCCCCCCTTCCCCTCTCTCTCTTTTCTTGTATCATCTGTGCTCAATTTCATCCCAATTGTCTTCCCCTCAGTCTTTCTCTCATGGACCTTTACAGTCGGCAGAACTCTTGATGAAAAAACCAGGCCAGGAATTGCTTTCCTGTTTATGGAACAGTTACTTGCTAAGTCACCAAATGTTTATGTGTCAAATGCATATTGTTAAAGTCCCTGAAAAATAGGGAGTCTCCATCCAGCTGTCTCCTCCGAAATCTCAATCCGTAACTTTGCAATAACCTGCATGGAAGCAAGGACATTAGGAAGTTAAGTTACTGGGGAGGGGCTCCTGGGTGGCTCAGCGGGTTAAAGCCTCTGCCTTTGGCTCAGGTCATGATCCCAGGGTCCTGGGATCGAGCCCCACATAGGGCTCTCTGCTAGGCAGGGAACCTGCTTCCTCCTCTTTCTCTGCCTGCCTCTCTGCCTACTTGTTATCTCTGTCTATCAAATAAATAAATAAAATCTTAAAAAAAAAAAAAAAAGTTACTGGGGAAGTCTCTGGAAGGTGGCAGTCTCTTCACCTGCACAAGGTCTAGCCCGTGTAGCTGTAAATGAGACTGAGGAAACTGGATTTGTGCTCTAGGTTACGTGTTTCTTTTCAGACAATACACTGCTTCCTTAATTAATACCTTTTGCCCAGCGGAAATAGTTACAGTCAGACTTGCCGTTTATCAGATGCTCACGATCTGGCAGGCACTGACCCGAGCCCCCTACTCATACTACTTCACTTAAGCGTCAAGACAACCTTGTGAGGGAGGAGTTTGTCTTCAGGAAACAGAGCCTAAAACGTCACCCAGTGTCCTCAAAGTCACAGAGTGAGGGCATGGGAATGCCAGAATTTGAACTCAGGTTCGATGCCAAAGTCCAGCACAGAAATGTCGTGAAGCCAACAGAGAATTTTTTTTTTTTTTTTTAAAGCCAAGCAATTAGGGGTAGAAGTGACACCACACAGACAGACCTAAGACCTCCACAGCCACCCCACCGGTTGCAGGTCGACCTCAGCTGAGTCGTCCTCCCCAGTGCTGGGAATGACACCTAAGCAGAAATCTCTGAAAGAACACAGTTGTCTCCTAATTACTACTTAGCTCATTACACCAAACACTTCCTAGACACCATTACATTATACCCTAAAACTACAGCGGGTCTTAATTCTCTTCCTCTCTGTCTCTGAAATTCTACAGCTCTATTATTCAAGCCTGAAATATTCACAACTATCTATAAATTCAATTGTCAGCTGGTGGGTTTTATTCTAGACTTCACTTCAATCTAAAATTAGAGGCACTAAAATTCACATTAACTCTAAGAGGAATGTAGTGAATAAGACTTTATTTCAAAAGAACACCTTTTTGTCAGAAAGAGCCATTTTCGAGATGATGGCTTTATCTGTAGCCAAAGAGAATGAGCCCAATTCTACATTGTGCTGTTAATGCAGAAATTTTAGGTCACATTGGATTAATAAAAATCTAAATTTAGTTAAGAATTACGAATAGAAATAACACGTGTAGGAAAGTGTGGGAGGTATTTATTTTAAAGCCTCAGTACACTCGCTTTTATTATTTGAAGGGAAATGAGACGCACAAGGGGGCAAGACAAGAGACTTTCCAAAAAACTTCTGACGGAACACCCTCAGAAGAAACTGGAGGGAGAAACAGCTATGTCGAGATTCACAGTTTGCTTCTGCAGAAGACACTACATTTGAGGGATTTAACAACCTTCCTGAGGCCAGGGTGAGTCCAGTCCTGTATAAAGAGGCATTTTTAACATTGTTTAACATACAGTCTCAGTAATTCTGACAGTCACGCTTCGTAGCCTGGCCCAAGAGTCAGCAAGGGTAAAATTTACCTTTGGTGTTAGATACTAACGATCAGGCAAATACAACTTCTTAGTTGCTGGACTATTTCAAAATGTAATTTTTGAAAGTTAATTAACTGTGCTAGACGCGTGCATGTATAGCGAGAAAGAGAAAGAATAAGAATCAATTAAAGTGGTTGCTGTAGGAGGAAACAAGAAGATAATCTGTAAGTTAATATTCAATTTATATTATAATGATCAAGCTTAATTATTTTCAGAGATTCTACCTAGATACAGGTAAATGAGCGACCTTGAATCAATCGCCCCGAGTTAGAATTTCCACATGCATGCGTTCATGTCCAACCCAGGTGGTCTGCATTTCAAGGCAGTTTAGCCAATACTTGGTGTTAAATGCCAGCATAACAACAATATCCCACAGTCATACATATTATATGCCTTTCATCAACAGGTAAGTTCTTCAGCAGCTGTGTTCATCATTTAAATTTTATACAAACTCAAAATTAGTTGCTACTTCATTTCCCTACTTAAAAAACGACGCACGAAATTCTCTTAAGGAACATATTATGCAATTATGCACAGTTCTTTGGGTTTCCTGATTGTCATACTAAGACAAGATCTTTTGAAACTTTTATTTTATCCATACCAAGGACAGACACCTTAATAAGCTAAATAAATGCCAACTAAAGAAGTCACTATTTTATTTTCTTCCTGAAGGGCCCCAAAAAGGTACCCATCTTCATCACAAACTCCAAACACTTTGCATCAGTTTTTATCCAAAAATTTGAGGTAAGCACACTGCGGCCAGCAAACCTGCAAGTTTACAGATACGAGACAGAAACAGGAAGACAAGAGTCCCTAGCTTTCTTATCGAATCACAGAATTTCAGGGTTGGAAAAGAAGGTTTTCAGGTCCTGCTACCTAATCACTATCTATTCAAGATAGGAACGAGTCTATGAGGACTGGTC